AATCTATAACCACTATGATATTACGTCATTCGGTTGGTAAATAACAGGAAAAATATGTTTCACGTTTAGAGGTATTTCTTTTCCTCCTTTTCGATTTTGAAGTCAATTAAAAACTAAGTAGTAGAGTTTTAAAGTTTATTCGGTGACTTTTTAAATAATAATATGAATTTATTTTCAATATTAATTCGTACATATATCTTCAATTAAAATTAAGTCATTACGTAAATGGTTAGCTGTATAAAGTAAACAGTGTAACATATTTGCCTATTACCTTGTAATTACGTTCGACAAATAAAAGTTTCGTTGTTATACGAGTAATATGCAAATGTGGCGTCAGTGTGATATTAGAATGAAGATGCTTTACTATATTATACTGAACTTGCAGGGAAATATGGACATAAATGTGAAGGATTCGATGTCATAACTGAAGATGGTTACATTTTAAAATTGTTCCGAATCAAAGGAAATGAAACCAATCCTATATTACTGGCACATGGTATCTTTGCATCGGCGGGTATATGGCTATTGAGAGGTAATATATCTCTCGCTATTACCTTAGCCAACAAAGGTTACGATACGCGACATGTAACTTTAAATTCTAAAACAGGTAAATCATTTTGGGATTATAGCTTCCATGAAATGGGAGTTAAAGATTTACAGGCAAACATCGATTTCATTTTGAATAAAACCAAACAATCTCAACTAACAATAACTGGACATTCTCAGGGAGCACAAATGAGTTTTGTTATGGGATCTGTATTGACTGAGTACAACGCTAAGATTAAAATTATTATCGGATTAGCTCCCATTGCTTTTCTGAGTAATGTAAGATTTCCCTTGGCTGTCTTAACCCTTAATTTGGTATTGTATGCTGTGCCATACTAACTTTAAAAAAAATAAAGTGTTAAAGAAATATTATGATTTCAAAATAATTATTCACGTTTATTTTCATAAACTAGTCACATTTTATGAAAAAAAAATGTTTTTGAGTGTTAGCAACACTGGTGCTATCACTTTTTTTCAAAATGTCTGCCCGAAAAAAACCGGCTGTGCTCACTCACACTATTTGTTTTTTATTACTTTTTTCTCGTATATTTATAATAAAATACTAATAATTCGATCGTGACATTATAGTGAAGTGTTCACTGTTATAATTTTGGCTATATTTATGGATATTTGTTGTTTTATTTAGTAATAAACTTTGTATGCCGTGACATACATTGCCAACTTAGTAATGAATTACTGCATAACGAACCTGTATATGACAGCATACATTCCCAACTTAGTAATGAATCACTGTGTAACGAAGCTGTCTGTCACAGCATACATTACCAATTTATTTGATTTCTGTTTGTGGTTTTTTTTTGCGATTTATGGGTTTTTGTTTGCTTGGGCTTGAGTTTTGAAATAATTCACGTTCGATGAATGTGCTTCCTTAGCAGTTACATATCACGTACCCTAATATCCCCTCTTAGATTTAAGTAGTATATAAGACGAATATTGTTTACTTAATTAGAGATCTACAACCTGGAACATAGTATCATTTCTCCCGACCAGACTGACGCTATTTCAGTATGCAAGCTTTATTTTTCTTTACAGCATGCACTACTAACACGTGGTGGTAGAATTTTAGCTTTGATCCCTACTGAAAATGCACTCTCTGATGATAGTAATGCATCTGACCTCGATGATGAAATATTAGGCGCTCAAATTTCGTATTCTGATTCATCTTCGCCAGCCCCATCTATTACAAATTCTTTATAAAGACTAAATATATTAGATTCCGATAATGAAAACTCAACTAATGAGAATGTTCGGCTTACGCCTGTATTCCAAGAAGTATACCCGAATCCATCACTTGAGCCCGATTGCTATATTGTTCCAATAATAAGCAACATTCCAACACTGCCTGCAACCCCTGCCACGCCTGCAACTCCTGCCACTCCTGCTACTCTAAATCTTGTATCTCAAGTCGCTTCTGCATCACAAGCTTCGCCTACACAACCTTCAGTGTCCATACCCAGCAACCCCACTTCATCCTCTACATTGTCAAATCGTCTAACTAGAAAAACACGATCGAAAAGACCGACGGTTCCCGTTGCTAAAAGCTCACGCAGGACTAAAAAGTTCGTTCTGTGTTATAAATGGAAAAGGGGTAGAACAAACAAATGCGTATTCAGTGGAAAAAAAACCGGACGGTCGATAGAATTAGTTGAAGACGAACTTCGAGATTTTCTGGCTATTCACATCATCATGGAGGTCGTGTCTATGCCTTCATATACAGACTATTGGAGTCTGCAACATAGATTCGGTTGAGTTGCAGATCTAATGCCCATAAAAAGATACCAAAAAATTCGAAGATATCTTCATTTCGTCGACAATAGCACTGATAATAATGACAGATATCATAGGATTAGGCCTATAGTTAAAAAAATAAGAGCGAATTGTTTAGCTCCAGAAGTCGAGAACAAGTTCAGCATTGACGAAATAATGATTCCTTACAAAGGGACTAAGGCTGGCAAGAGACGCCAATACATGAAAGACAAACCCAATAAATGGGGTTTCAAAAACTATGCCAGAGCTGGAGTATCAGGTATGATCTACGATTTTATCCTGTACAGAGGAGAGGACACTTTAAGGTTCCATAATTTCACAGAAGAACAATTGTCGCTAGGCTTTGGAGCTCAAGAAGTCATTGCTTTGTGCAAAAGTATAAAAAAATACCACCTTTGTATTCTGCGACAATTTTTTTTCATGCCCAGAACTCTTCTACATACTGAGAGAAAACTACGGCATTTTTGGATTGGGCACCATCAAAAAAAATAGAATGAGAGGAGCAGATGCAGTTTTACGTACAGAAAAAGAAATGAAGATAAAGCCTGGAGGAGCTATTTATATAGGAGCTGTACAGAAAAAGAAATGAAGATAAAGCCTATGACCAAGCAGTTTGTGACAAACTGCTTGGCAGTTGTGCGTTGGAATGACAACAAAGTCGTAACGTTGGTCAGTACTTATAAAATCAAACGCTACTGCAAAGAGACCAAACAAAAAGTTGAAGTTAATTGTCCACAAGTGGTCAAAGAGTATTATAAACATATGGGTGGTGTAGATTTAGCGGATATGCTCATCTCGCTATACAGAACTCCTTTCAAGACACGAGGTTGGTATATCGGCATATTTCCCAGCTGCTTGATATATGCATCAACAATGCATGGCTATCTTACAGAAATGATTGTACTACAATAAAAAATAAGGCTACGCCCTTAAAAGCTTTTAGGTACGAAATCTATGAAGGACTCCAAAAGAATAGACGTGCTGTGATTTACCCACTCGACATCAAAAAACGACCACAAAAAGCAATACAGCCAGTTCCCGTTGAGTTTTCGCGATTTGACAATGTGGGTTATTTCATGACCATGACATATCAGGGTAAGGTATGTCCCAACATACATTCAAATTGATACATATTTCTTTACCCACTTGGCAATATATGTAGTACCATACATGATTTTTCAGGAAAACTGAAAAACCCTAGATTTTATTTACTATTTTTCTGGGTATATTTAGGTTCTACACATTCCTATTTCCGTATTTGTTTCAATTCAAAAATTTATTTTTTGCCAAATAAAGGGTTCAAAATCAAAATTATTTATTCAGTTTAGGCTGTTACAAGCACTTGTGAAAGTCGAGAGCTACGCCATCGGTTCGTAAATCTACGGCGGGAGACCTTGTACCGAGAAGAACCGGCAAGAAACTCGGCAATGGCTGCTTTTTTCGCCCTGTTTTATTTCATACATAGCGTCAAGATTGAAAAATGACTTCATTAAAATTTGAAGTCACTTTCCATTACAATATTACACAATATTAGAGTAAAACAGTATTTTCGTCAATCCAATCACATGTGTAGCCAAAAAAGCTCACCGATTAACAATTTAATATATATGAAAAATGAGCCATATTTAACTCCAAGCAGTAATGTCGTTTAAATCTTCATTAGCAGTATAATATCCTTTACTGAGTAGACAATTCTTAATATGGGTTTTAAACTAAGGTAATGGTAAATTTAAAATTTCCATAGGAATTTTGTTATAGTAGTGTACACCTTGACCCATAAATGACGATAGAACCTTCTTTAGCCTGCATGACAGCAAAACAAGTTTATCTTTGTTTCTAGTATTAAAATTATGTACATGACTATTTTTAATATAATTGTTAATATTGTTTCTAACATAAAGTATACAATTGTATATGAATTAGGAGGCCACTGTTAATATCCCAATTTTTTGAATTTATCTCTAAGTGATGTTCTTGAACCCAATTAATAAATGGCCCTTACTGCTCTTTTTTGTAAAATAAATATAGACTCTATATCTGCAGCCATATCCCACATCAGAATGCCATATGATATCACGCTATGGAAATAACTAAAGTATACTGTCCTAGCGGTATCTACATATGTAAGTTGCCTAATTTTTTTTATTCCAAAGGCAGCTGAACTTAGTTTTCCTGCCAATAATGAAATATGAGGATGCCATTGCAATTTAGAATCCAGCGTTACACCTAAGAAGATTGGTGAATCAACCAACTCGAGCTTTTCATCATTAAGTTTAATTTCTGTAAGTTCAGCTTTTACATTAGGTAACATAGACTTTATACATTTCGTTTTTTCAGCATTTAAATGGAGATTATTTACAGTAAACCAGGTCATAATCTGTGAGAGAGCAGAAAAGGTTAAACTCCTGTTTCTTGTCTAGCCCCTTCGGGGGTGGGGCCACAGGAGGAGTCCCACATCACCCGTGGAGCCCGCGCAGGGTAAAGCGGGTATACGTAACGCATTTCTCAGCGTCAAAAAAAAAAGAAAAAAAAAGGGGGGGAGTACAGCTACCCAATATTTGATAAAAAAGAACATTCGATAAGTATACTGTAGAAATAGGTCGTTCCGTATATATGTTTAAATATGTATTAAATAAAAATGAATTATTATCGTGAGTAACCCTATTCAATATTTAAACATTTGTATTTGTCTGTAAAGGTATTGTGTAAGATACTATTTATAACGTAATTTATAATATTTTTCATTAGTACAACGCCAATATTGTGGCAACAACCATGTATTTCATATTACTATTTTTATTATTTTGTTGGAAATTAGATTATGTTCTAAATGATAATAATCAAGATGCTCCACTAAGTTTTACTGAACTAGCTAAAAAATATGGTCATAATTGTGAAGATTTTGATGTCATAACTAAAGATGGTTACATTTTAAAATTATTTCACATAAAAGGAGATAAAACCAAAATTATATTATTAGCGCATGGTATAACAGACTCAGCAGATTCATTTATCATCCGAGGTAATTTATCTCTTGCTATTACGTTAGCTAATAAAGGTTACGATGTATGGGCTTTAAATGTCAGAGGAACCAAATATAGTAGACGACACGTAACTTTAAGTCCAGATAATAAAAAATTTTGGGACTACAGCTTCCATGAGATGGGAACAAAAGATTTGCCAGCGAATATTGATTTTGTATTAAACAAAACAAATCAGTCCAAATTAACAATTATTGGATTCTCTCAAGGCACCCAAATGAGTTTTGTAATGTCATCTATGTTAAGTGAGTACAATGCTAAATTAAACGGTATTATCGCATTAGCTCCTGTTGCTTATTTGCACAATGTGAAATTTCCTCTGTCTATTTTAATACCGTTACTGTTACCAATTAGCTCTGTTCAAAAAGTAACAGACAATGAAGAAATATTTAAAAATGGTTCACTTCAAACAAATACAATACAAAAGGTTTGTACGCAGAAAAATGTTGGTTATGAAATATGTGGACTTGGTGTTATATTTCCACTACTAGGTTCGGATCCATCTGAACTGGAGCCAGATTTTTTTCCAATTTTATTTGAGCATTTTCCAATATCGACGTCAAGGAAAAATTTGGAACATTGTGCACAAGTTATGACAAGAAAGAAGTTTGCACAATTCGATTATGGACTCGCCAATTTAATGATCTATGGTAGTTTAGAACCTCCGGAATATCCTTTGGCAAACATCAACGTACCAGTAGGACTTTTGGTCGGTCTTAATGATAAAATAGCAGATGTTACAGATGTCAAGATATTAAGGGACCGTCTTCCAAATCCTCACTACCACGAGATAAAACGTAAGCAATGTAATCATCCTGATTTGGTTTATGGACGAACCATGGATGAATATTTGTATCCAATTTTGTTTGAATTATTACACAACTTCACTAAAAGTTAGTTCTAAATGATATGAATTAATATTATATTAATAAAATTTCTAACTGTACTAGATTTCAAAAATATTATATTATTTACATTTATTTGTAAGAATTTGACGACGGCTGTTATAGAGTGTAATATTTATTTTATTATTACCTACAGTGAAAGTTGTTTATCGTTTTAACAAGATTCAATTCTAATAATTCATTAATTTTATTGAGATATTTATAAAACAATAAACAACTTAAGAGAAAAATGCTCAAACAAAATATCTGACAGTAGTTGATATCTTTTTTTAATTATATAAGTTACTAGGTGTTTACCCGCAACTTCGCACGCATAACTTATAGCCTATTGCAACCCTAAATGAAAGAATTTTATGATCGGTCCAGTAGTCTCGGAGCAAACAAACAAAAATATACAAATAAACAACCTTTATAATATTTGTTTAGATTTATCAATCTATCATCGTGAAATCAAAATTGATCAAATATACAATTTAAACTTGTTTACATCTTAATCGAAAGTTAAAAATAATTACTGTTTTTATTCTCATGAGTTATTCATTAAAAAACTATTCAAAACATCCAATGTAAGTACTTATTTGTACAAGCATATATTTGATTACACGCGTTATATTTGAGAAATTCGTCAATTTTTCATTTTTCAGAGCATTTTCAACACGTTTTTATAACCCGATTGTAAGAATGTGTCGTACATATAACGAATTGAATCGTTATTATGAAACAGACGATATTTTCAATAACAAATTCTCAAATATAAAAAAATAAAAGAAAATTTCAATAATAATACTATTAGCACCATTTAATATTTAAATTGACTGTATACTAAAAATTATTTTAGGATCTGTTCATGTTATAATTTAATACTGTTCATGCTGAACACTGTTTTTAGAGTATAGTCTAGTCCAAATACTTTAAATATGTTTGTAGGTTTCTCTTTTGATTATGATCTGTTCGTATACCATTTATAGATAAATAAAAAGAGCTGTTGCTTGAATTACGAAAGACTATGGGTTCGAATCCCATTTTGAAGTGCCTAGAACTAGTAGATTGTTAAACATTTTTCATTTTTTTCAAGATATTGATTTAATGCACTATGTTTGTACGTTTAGACAAAACAGCCAATTAAAGAAAATTCAAATATCGTTTTTTAATTAATTATTGTCTAACTGTTTTTGTATAGTTTTATTTCATCACTTTACATCCTCACTCTACAGTGAGAATGAAAAAGGGTGCAGAGCCCCTACAAGCTCAAGTCTTCCTTATGGTTGATTAAGGAGAATGGGCTATGATGTTCTATGCTGGCACAATGCGGATTGGTAGGTGTTAACGACTGAAAATGCAACTGGTACAACAGCTTAATGTGCCTTCAGAAGCCCGGCGGAACTCGAGATAATTCATTTTTGGTCACCTATTCCATGACTGGTTCTTGCACAAGCTGCTGTCGCTTAGATTTTCCACAATCTCACCAAGCTCTTAGGTAGCTGAACTGGGTAAATTCTGTTAGCTATGCACTATGGATTCCATAAGGAGCCGCTTAATACTTATCCTTTCTGTCTGTTATGTGGAAGCAACAACATTAGGTACACTTTAGTTGCTGGTAAGTGCATTTCGATCAATATTCAAGCAATCAACTGCCGAAAGTAATATTAGGATTTTTTATCACCAATATGTTTCTCAAAGATCTTGATATCAAAGAGTGTTTTTGTTATTTTAATTCCTAAACAAATAAACTTAAAACTTTATTAGCTTTGTTTATAGTCACGTCCAATGCGGCAGGCGATTGACATGCAAATTTGCATAGAAATCGCAAACAGGGGTGGAATTTTCTTACACCAAAGAATATCTTGGATTTTTAATGGACAATTGATTGTAGATTAAAGAAAAAAGGACTAAATTCGCAAACTCGATAAAAATCATCATACAATACTGAAAACCAATTCTCGTGTTCTAATTAAAAAAAAAAACTGAAATTAAGACAAATAAGGCACTTATTAACTAAGATTATAAAAGTATATTTAATAAAAGGAAAAAGGTTAGTTCTTTAGGACGACTACAAAAATTAGGTTACCCTAATAAGTATGTTACGAAGAACACCGTAGTCATTTCCTGTTCCAAAAAAATATATGTCGGGCATTTGTCTAGCTAACTTGCAAATATATTTATGCCAAATAGCTTTGGGTCTCCCACTTCCTTAGCGCAATTATTTTCAATCAACCCTAGCGTCCTGCGGGACAGAGAATAGCCGGACAGCTTATTCGGACAAACGTTAACCTTGATCAAAGATAGGGCCGTTATTGCCTAAGACAGAAAAAACAGCAGGAAAATAACAACGTGTGTCATTTTATTTAACTAGTTACTAGTTATGCCATAACTATTTTTTATTATTATTATTTGAATACCTCCGTAGATACAACTCCACTATTTTCAGCTTATCGTCTAATGCCTGACTCTACCATTCTGTAGAACATTCTGGTAGCAACCGATGTTGGTTCAGCCAAAAGGCTTTTCTAGAGACCCTGTTCATAATTCAGGTGCACATACTGTAGATTCTGTGTCCTCTCAGGCTCATTTCTAACACATTCCACGATAATCCCTCACTCGTCACAATTTGGTGAGATGGTTTTTTTTACATAAGATACTCGAAGATGTTTAATAGAATATATTCGGAGCGCAGTCTAAGGGCGGTAACTATATTTTCCCTACTCACGTATGCACCTTATACCAGGGAATAACTATAAAAAATAGGTTGTATTGTTTTATGACTGATCTTTCGTAAAAATATTGTCTATAATTTTAGTTGAAATATTTTAATATTCTTCCCAATTCTCTTTGCATTGAATTTTAGCAGTAATGAATAAATCTTAAAAACAGGTTACCCTGTTTTTAAGATTTATAGTAATATTAGAAGTGCTGTTTTTCGTAGCTTCCTTTGCTATCAAATTAACACTTTCGTTACTTTTAATGCCATATGGAGTGCAGTAATTACCTGAAGGAAGGTTGATTCAAACAAAACTTCACGGTGGGTTACCAACTAATTTTATCAATAACAAACATGATTAAGTACAGGATAAACAAATAATAAGTTCCACCATCTGGAAATAGTTAGGTCACAATAACTTTATAACTATAACAGCTCAAGCATTTCTGGGTAAAGTTTTGATTTTACCATTCCTACAAATAAGATGGAGCAATGCATTACCCAAAGTAAGTGTGGCAGCTATTGTCAAATTTGACATGAGCCTTAACTTGCCCATAGTATAAGAATAATTAAAATGTGATAGAAGTATAGGTTTATTAAACCTATAGATAGTGTTAAGGTGCAAAACGTAAACAAAAAGGACGGTGTTGAATAAGCAGGTTCACCGACCATTACATCAGGTACTTCACCGGACAACCCCAGAGTGGTAAAGACATAGACCATGTATACATTGTACTTGACGAAAACTCCTACAATTACTTAGCAGATAATGAATCAAAAAATATTTTTACATCCACTCTAAAAAGCTAATATACTCGATAAGAAGCTCGATCTCGCAGTGGGTAACAGGCTCGGCTTGCGATACGACTGTTAAGAAACTTTCGCAAGGGCCGATCTTAGAGAGGATGGGTAACCAACAAAGAACAATGGTCAAAATGGACTACGAAAAAAAAAGTTCTTGTACCAAGATGGAACCATCACCAAAATGTAGTATAAGTTGAATGTAATTATTATATACCAACAATTCATTTTTGAAAGCTGGGAAAAGAAAGATTATCCTCTCTAAAATATGTCTTTATTTTTTAGAACGCAGTTTAAATTATGTTATTTTTGAACGCATCTTATTAATAATGTCATTCCTAGAGAAGTCCCTCTCTTTTCAAGAACAAGATCAATTTTATTTCTGACTAATCGAATTTGATACAAATTTTATATTATTTACTAACATATAAATCCGTGAAAATTATAAAACTTAGATTAGATTACTGATATAATTAGATGTTACTTAGAGGAAAATAGTTAATTTATAATGAAATTAAAAACAAATGATTATTCATAAGAATCGATATTACAGTATTCAATCGCGACCTCCCTTTTTTTAGACAAGTATGTGTAGACGTGTTTCTACGCAGACCGTTTTGTAACTTTGGCGGTGATTTTGTATTATCTTCTGTATTATGGGGAGCATACAAGGTTCCATGGGCAGTATAATATAATATCCATTTATTTTTCTCTTCACAATAGTACAATATTAAATAATATTTTTAATTATACATACTTAAATTTAAACTAAATGTGAGAGACTGGAGCCTGTAAAAGATACCATAGGTATCTGTACTAAACACGTCACCAGGCCGTTATAACGTAAGGTTGATAATAAGAAGTATGTTATATAAAGACAAGTACTCAGTTCTTCACAGCCATTTTGGATATTATCCAGATTACTTCTGCATCTTAATTACAATTAAATTCTAGAATCTGCAGACTTTTAAATGTAATGAGTGTGAGAAACGTGTACGATGAATATGAACAAGTTGGTAATATATGTATGATAACTATTTTCTATGTACATATATTCAGCATCAGCTAGTTAACTATAAAATTGAGGTTAGAAGGTTTTCCGTATCATGATAAAATCTAATGTTTTTAACCAATTAGATAAAGTTATATTACAAGTCATTTTATGTAGCGGGTAAATTGTGAGAATTTTGTTTATTTTACTGTATAGAAAAATAGACCATTTTAATTGTACGTTGGTCTGCTATATGCCTTAATGATTTAAAAATGAATATTATAATATATAATAATGTTAAGTATTCAGTTTTGGTGATATTGAGGGATAAAAGGTTTTCTGGAAGCCACAGACATACCTCATCTAATCCCATTTGAGCATTTTGGAAAACATCACTCCAAGTATTACCACGAAAAAACAGAGTTGTATCGTCAGCGAAAGTGATGATTTTACCACTGTCAAGTTTCAGCTGGCACAGGTCATTGATAAATATCAAAAAAGAG